GGAGTTGTGTGCGATTCACAAAGTCAACAAATTTACGAAAAGTTTTGTGGATACTGAACACAGAACACTTGCCCACGTTGAATAAAATATAATCACCTATTTTCTATTATCAGTAATTTCATGTATAAACGTTTATATATATCAATGTGATGAGGTAGATGAAGTGTTGTAAGTGATTGTGGAAAGTCAATTTCTGTGAATGAAACCAGACAAGACGGAACAAGTCACTAGGTTTAAACGTCAACCATGGTCAGTAAGTAAGTAATCTTTATTTATATAGTTTTCACAGACCAGAGTCACGAAGCGCTTTGGGCATTTGTCTCTCACTCCACACAGAGATAGGAGTGTGGTCGCAGTACAGAAGGCGCATGCCAGACCTACTGTACATGTTTTTAGTGGTAGGGGAAACCAAAGCATGAGAATTAAATGAATTAAATTGTTGGTTTTTTTGGTCTTCCTTCCAGGTCAAATCTGAATTACTCGACAATAGATGTGGCACTGGCACGTGGTGCGTACTTTGAAATCTTTAATGCTCAACCCAATAGCACTCTCGGTTACAAATATGCAACAAGTTCCAAGGTTATGGTAAAAATAAGTCAGAGTTTTTGGTTTAATGTATTTATTAATGCACTATGTACCCAAGAACCCAAAGAAGCAAATATGCCACAGGGACAAATTTGGTAAGCTGCTTTCATGATCACCCTGGACAGGAGCACACTGAACAAGCTGGTCAGGAGGGCCAGCTCCACTCTGGGCTGCATCCTGGTCTCTGTGGAGGAGGTGAGGAAGAGGAGGCCCCTGGACTCTGTGGAGGAGGTGAGGGACAGGAGGGTGCTAGTCAAAGCCACCTCCATCATGAACAACACCTCCCACCCACTGCACAGGACTGTAGAGGAGCTGAGGAGCTCCTTCAGTGGAAGACTGAGGCACCCTCAGTGTAGGAAGGAGCGCTACCGCAGGGCCCTGTCAGACTGTACAACAAGTCACTTTAAGTCACTTGCATTAGGACTGAAAAAACCTGCACTACTATTGACAGTGTTTCTTTATTGCCACTTTTGAATTGTCACTTTTTATTGTACATAATACAGTATATCCTGCATTTAACATGTTTGCACATTCTTTTGCACAATCTTGAGTGATTCTATCCATGACAGGTGTGACATGTACATTTCTCCTGTGAGAGATCAATAAAGTCTATCTTATCTTCCAAAAATAGCAAGGATAATTTTCTTTAACATATACAGTATTTATGTCTGAGTTCTATGAGGTACAACAGCTACAAAAGAACGGTTTTCAGTGAACTCTTTTCCTCATCTGCCACCTTTACTGTCTTGTCTCTGTCACTGTAGTGCTATTAAAATAAAATCTCATCTTTTTTCTATACGGCAACACAATGACTACATCCTGCTGCTGTTTCTCCTGCTGTGAAAAATCCCACTTAAGCCACTGTCTTCTGTGAACCGCTGCAAACTTGCTCAAACACTGCTCGTCCTCGATCGATGGCCCCTCGCGTTGGCCATTGTCTCCCGGTCGCGGCGGAATTGACCAATCAGAGCGTCCGTCTGCGCGGCCTCTCACACAGCGCTCTGCATTATGTCATTATATCATCGCAGCATCGATTTTCCACTATTCTATTTGTCGCGGCTCCCAGGGGTCTCCACGGTGACAGCTGTCCATCAAGAGGAGAGAAGAGTCTTATCTGGGGCTTTGTGTGTGTGGGTGTGTGGGGGGGAATGTGTAAGTGTGTGTGTGTGTGGGGGATATGTATGTGTCCGTGGGGGGTTATGTGTACGTGTGTGTGTGAGTGTGTGTGGATGTGGGAGTGTGTGTGTCTGCAAGCATGCAAGTGTGTACTTGTGTGAGTGCGCAATTGTGTGTGTCTGTGTCTTGTGTGAATGCGTGCATGTAAGTGAAGATGTGTGTGTATGTGTGCGAGTGTGTGTAGATGAATGTGCGAATATGTATAGATGTGTGTGTTTGCGTGCGAGTGTGTGTAGATGAATGTGCGAGTATGTGTAGATGTGTGTGTTTGCGTGCGAGTGTGTGTAGATGTGTGCACGAGTGTGTGTAGATGTGTGTGTTTGCGTGCGAGTGTGTGTTGATGTGAGTGTGTAGGTGTGTGTGTGTGTGTGTGTGCGAGTCTGTCTAAATGTTTGTACGAGTGTGTGTAGATGTGTGTGTTTGCGTGCGAGTGTGTGTTGATGTGAGTGTGTAGGTGTGTGTGTGTGTGTGCGAGTCTGTCTAAATGTTTGTACGAGTGTGTGTAGATGTGTGTATTCAGAATGGACAGAGGGTTGTGTGTTCCCTGTGGTTTTAAACACCAGGGAACCGGTCTTTTCAAACTGTTCAGGACATTTCTGCCTCTTCAGTTGCAGCTAAAAACTTGATTCATGATGATTCACAAACGACAGATCAGAAAATCACACATAGGAGCCATTGGTCCATATCGGGCGGGACATCCATAAATGTCCTTTTTCCGTTTTCCGGATCATCACTGTCCTCAGACCCTTCATCTGTCAAGGAACGACTTCCAAAAGCGTTTAGTTGATTGTCTTGCGAACCCCTTTCGTCCTGCTTCATACATGAGCACTTCCCCTCGCCCTCTGCTGCCGCCTGTGAGTGACCTCTGCTGGTCAGCTGAATTACATTTCAGTGTCCCAAACCGAATTGTGCACAGACACAGGAGCGAGTTAGTGCCGTAATCTTATTCTGGGGTCGTGATGTATCCGCTCTGACAAAAACCTCAACGCAAATGTCGTTTCGTGGACGCTGATAAATGTCAGCCATTTTGAAGGGCACAGTCACTTCGAGAGGAGACGAGAGGGCGGGGCTAACCACATGTCCAGGACAGGACTGTGTGGGAGATTTACAGTTGTTTGTAAATGTAAATACAGTCAGAAATATGGCAGAGAAAACTGGGACCAAAACTGACTGAGCTGTATGTAAGATGGACATACAGTATGTTTTTGTCATTTCCAGGAAATAATGGATTAGCATAAGACCCAGGACACGCAAGAGAGTCTGTGCAGAGTTTTCAGGTTTCTGCACTGGCTATATGTGTTGATGTTAGTGCTGTATGAATTGACTCGGACTCTGAGGAGCACAGGGACTGACCTCCTGCTGGTGCCAAGAGTCAGGACTAAACATGGGGTGGCAGTGTGAATATTTTGTATTTGAAGGCCTTGTGTGCCTTGTTTTATGAAGCACTTTGAGTTGTCTTGTGTATGAATTGTGCCATACAAAAAAAAACTTGCCTTGCTGTGTCTCTCAGATGGCCGGGGGAAATGACCCTGATGAGCTCGTGGAGGTGTGCATACTGTATGTCTGGTTGTCTCTGCTCAGACTGCTGCCTTTGCCTCCCAGCAACGGGTAAAGTGGAAGAAAATGTGTAAATGCATAGATGTATTTCAACAGAAAAGATCGCCTTCTCTACATCCCCTTTTATAAAACCAAGATTACTCCAAGACATGACTCTAAGTTTTTGTCATATGTGTTTTTTTCCCCATAAATGACATATGTTGTTTGTCCCAACAGAAAAAATCTTGTAGAAGTGAAATCTTGTGAGCAAATCAGATCACAGCTGCCTGTCTTTGCCTTGTTAGAAAGGCAAAGACAGGGCTGAGAGCTGATTGGCTGAGTGAGGGTGGTTCACTTTTCTGAGTTGATCTAAGAATGTGATAGAGGCCAAAAGAAGATGCACATGTAAACTAGCGCCAGAACCAAACTGTTTTGAGAGCGTGGGACCAGTTACAATGGAAGTTATTACACAGTTACATATTGATGTGGGTTGAAAGTTACGTACCCCAGTTTTAAATGGTAACCGGTCACATTTATAAAGCACCTTTCTAGTTTTTCAAGGCACTCAAAGCCATTCACCTCAAGGAGCAAATCCCCCACTCATACACACGCACACACACACACACACACGTTCATGCACCAGTGAAGGCAGGCAGTGGGGGCGGGGCGGGTTGAGTGTCTTGCCCAAGGACACATGGCAGTATTCACTAATGGGAGAAGCTTTTTCACAACTGCTCAACCAATCATGTAACGTCAGGAGCAGTCATGCTTCAGTTAAATATGAGGACACAGGAGACAAGACTAAACTCAGCTCAAACTAGATAGAAAGATAGATAGATAAATAGATAGATAGATAGATAAATAGATAGATAGATAGACGCAACTGGCATTTTCATGTTCTGTATTCCACAATTTGCCGTGTGAAAAGAATAACAGGTGAACTTTGCAATTGGACTCAAGTCGCACAAATGTGGGTCAAGATATTCTGTAACTTTTCAGATTAGCCCTCACTCATTAACAGCTAAGTGCTTATCAGTGTACCTTAAACCTAGCCCTAGTCCTAACCCTAACCCCCAATGGGAAAGTGTCAGTTGGTAGTTAGTTAGACGTTGAATAAGGCCATGCAGAATGAGTCAAGATAGTTAAGACATCCTTTATTTGTTCGGTGGGGAAATTTCAGTGTTGCCTCACCACTTACAGAACAGTAGGAATGACACAGCACAAGATAACTGAACAATAAGTCTATACTAACCACTTCATCCATTCAATTTTATCCGATTCCTCCGTAACCGGGTCACAGGAACTCTATACTTACCATGAAATGAATAAAAGTCTCTAGCTTTAGCATAATAAGGAAGTAAGTCTAAAATCTTATACTTTACCATTATATGAAGTGGATACAGTAAAGACTGATATAAGTGCTTGATAAATACAAATATAGAGGTAATTATCTACAGTATAACGTATACACTGATTAGCACTTCATTAGCTGTTCATTAGTTAGGGCTAAACTAAAGTGCGACCAGATGAAAAAATACCAGAAATATGACCAGTCAAACTCAGCCATGGGATCCATCTCTCCGCTTGGCCCCTGTCCTCCCAAAGACATCGATTTCCTCTTTGAGCTGCTGTACGTCCCGACAAGAACCCTGCTCCCATCCAGACACGGACCGCAAAACTCCCATCATCCCCCTGGTGTACGCTCAGCCGAGTGTGGAGCAGGCCTCATCCTCCTCCTCCCCCCGCCCCTTTTCCCGCGTCCCGATGCGTGTCAGCGGCCCGTCTGAAGCCTTGTCACACCACCGAGTAGACACATCCATCAGAGAGTCCTGGGACAGAGCTCTCACCCCACACTCAAAAGGCTCATCTTCTGTATGCCTAGTTTTTGTCTCTTGTTTTTATCAAGAATGTCATCAGAGCGGACAAAATATGAGGTAATGATTGCTTGATATATCTTAATTTGAGTACATTCCAATGGGACAATTTTCTTTCTTCGGCTCTGATGGCCGTGCCCAGACACAGAAATAGACTGATAGGGTAGGAAATGAATGAATGAATGTTAGAATCCATACATGGCATAACTCTGGTCACTAGTTTACATTCTGCACTGTCTATTGTCTGTATTTATGAGTTAAGATAAAAAATTATTTCATGCATGCTTTTGTATCTATTTATTACTTTTCATAACCATTTACCAGCAAAAAATACTAGTCTGGGACTGCTGGTGAGAGAATTCTGATCTTTGCCAAATTCAACCATTATTTTTTCCATTTTTGTCACTTTTTGCAGTGAGTATATCCTTTGTACCACCCTGAAATAACAGAAATTCAGTTTTTCGTCTTTGTAAAGTTTTTGTAGGTTTCCAAACTCAGCTCTGTGTTGTTGCTTCTCTTGCAAACTTTCTCCCGAACGCGATCTGCCAAAAACCGATAAGCAACAACCAAATAAAAGTGTTTTGTTTCATAAATAATGCATGTTGTTTGTCTACAGCCGTGGAAAAACGACCACTAATCAGACCACGACATCTTATGAGAAAACATAACATTTATATATTTGTAAGAAAGGGCCCCCGTGAGTCTCTTTTGGACTTTCAGGGTTTTTCACTTTTATTAAAATGAAATAAGGTTTTTATCTTGCTAAAACACATGCTAAAAGTGGTTAATACAAATGTAACACAGCAAAACTAAATGCTTAGGGTGCAAGTAAAGGGTGTGTTGCTATGGTAACTACCACTTGCTCGAAGATGAATTTGCTCTGGACCAGTCTAGGACCAGGATCGAGATAATTTTGTCAAGTTGACTGCTCTGGGAGTTCTAGTGTTAAGGTCAAAATGAGCACAATAACGCTAACGAGTTTATTCCATAAAACCATAAATAATAACAATGCACAAAACAAATGGACCCTTAAGCACCAGCACCAGCACCAGAGAGGGAGAACTATTATCATTGTCCAGTGCCAAGGTCAGAGGAGCGCGCACGGAGCTTTGTGCAGGGATTTCCAGGGGTGCGGGGGTCGAGGAGGTGTGAGGGGGGGAGAAATGTATATGGGGGGTGGGGGGTACCTCAGGGAGCAGATCCGGGCTTCAGCCAGGATCACAGCGCACCCCCGGTCACCTTGATGTGCCAATTCCAGCACGAGCTGTCATCAATCCCACCAAAGACCGGACTCCGCGGGGGGTCAGGGCCACGGCGGGCGAGAGGGGGGGGGCGGTTGGTGGCGGACACAAGCAAAAACAAGCACACCCCCCCTCCTCCCCCCATGGGCGGCTATTTATGGGGGAAAAAAGTCGGATCTGGAGTTACGAGAGGCTTTGACTTTGTGCCGAGGGGAAGACCTTTGCCCTCCCACTGTGGTAGTTACAAATAAAAAGGATGCTTGTTTTTAGAGTCCAGACTGAAGTGAGCAGAGGAGGCTCTATATGTTCAAAGTATATACGTACATGTGTATATATATATATATATATATATAAATATATATATATATATATATGACTTGAAGTGAACATTCTGGTAAAATACCTCAAAAAGGGTTTTTGATTTGACTGTTATTTACAGTGCGCCCGATTTTGTAACAAATTGTCTAATTAGAAAACAGTAGGAATCAAAAGACCTTCTTCAAACTATTTCATCTCGGTCATACTTTTGAAGGTACTTTCACAGGTCATACTTGTACAGGTGAAAGAGAGAGTCCTGTGAGTCTCTTCAACAGGTTTTCTGTCTGAAAAACTGATGTGAACAAACAGTGCACGCTTGTGAAAACTAGTGATGGAACCAAATTGATAGGAACAATGGATTTTAATAATAATAATAATAATGAAAATAATAATAATAATAATGATAATAATAATAATAATAATAATAATAATAATAATAATAATAATAATAATAATAATAATAATAATAATAATAATGATAATAATAATAATGATAATAATAATAATAATAATAATAATAATAATAATAATAATAATAATAAATTGTATTAGTTTTATTAATTTATTTTATTTAATTTAATTTATTTTATTGGTTCTATTGTGGAATCTGGCTTTCATAAAATGGACAAACGCAGACGAAACATGAAGAGAACAGGTCATGGCAACTTCAGTTTAGCATCTGTGGTTTTGACCAGTAACATCTTTCGATGTGACGTGATATGACACTCATTCTGCCTGAAAAAAACTGTAAAGCTGACAATAAAACTTCCAGGTTTCTCTGTTGTGCAAAAATCCTGTTTAAAATCTTTGATTTTTGACACTATTGCTGTAGTTTCAAAGTTTGAAAGTTAGGTTTAATAAGCAAAGAAAATCTACTGCACTTAGACCTTTAAAAGCTCCTGTACAGTGTCTTAACTGCACCAACCACATTTGTCCAGACTGAGAACACAGTGTGAGCTGCAGGTTCATGTTGACGAGGCAATGCTCAAAGCACTCTGGTCAATCCCGTCTATTCTGAAAATAACATTTCTACTGAAACCAGTCAAAATAATGTAAACTCTGCCCTGACAACAGCCCTAATCACATAAAAACATGTCCTGCGTTTTTCCCCACACTTCCTCATGTCTCCCTGCTGTTCACATAAACAGACTGAAGCAGGAACGTGTGCTCCGCCTTCTGATCTGGTGATCAACAGCTGACAGAGCTGTGTCCTGATCTGTTCCCGATCCCAATCATTAATATTCACATTTATTCGCGACAGTGAGTACGACCACAGAACACCTTTTACATACACCTTCTAGAAAGTGACATTCTATGATGTCATTGTACCACTATGACATCACACAGAGCAGTTTCAGCACTGAGTGAATGTACTGTGTTTGCAGCCAGTAGATCACAAACTTGAAAAAATGTTTTACTTCTCCCTCTGGTGGTAGCAAAGGAGCTAGATCCTGGTGCTCACTTTTCACTGATTTGATCATGTGACAGAGGCCAATAACTCACGGATGTGAAAACTAGTGATCAATCTGAATCAAACTGTGATGAGAGAGAGGAGCTGTTTGGATTGATTTTATAACATAGTTTCATTTTTGTGGTTTGAAATTCAGGTACCCCAGCTTTAACAAGAGGGAAACACATGTAAAGCCTGTAAGAATAGAGAAACATCTAAAACAAACAAAAAACAAACAAAAAGAAAGTGAACAAATGTGTTGTGGTCCTGTGGCTGAAGGAAACACACAGAGGTAAAGTAAAGGTAAAGTCTGCTGTGACTGAAGACATCTAACTGTTATGATCAGAAATTACAATTCCATTTAATGTATTTTTGTGTATCCATAAATCACAACAGCAGTCGTCTCTGCGGGCTTTACTAAGTTGGTGATTTCTCAACAACAGATCAGAGAAGCACACAGTTTGAACACATGGGAGCCATTAGTCCACAGGGAGCGGGAAGACCAGTGTCCAGGAACGTCCAGAATCATCACTGTCTACACCCTCCTGAATCATTCTCCACAGAGACTTGTCGATTACACAAATAATCTCCATAAAACATATACTTCCATCTCCTTCTAAAAATATGTAAATGGTATATATACAAATACAAATACATGACGACTTACAATACATGCTGTGACCCTGTGTGTGAAAAATGACCCGGATTCACCTCTCACAGATAATGTACCGTCGAGGATCAGAAACATCCTGCTCCTACTTTTGTTTTACTTTGTTCTGGTCTCGCATTAATCATAGAGGACCAGAGCAAAGTCAAAAAGTATCAAAGTAAAGAAATAGGGGTTTTAAACATTCTGAACCGCTGACGGAGTGTATTATTGAGCTGCAAAATTTTAATAAATGAAACCAGCCTGTTCACTTGCATCATTTTTTGTTCAGTTTAAATATTTAAAGAAACATGAGTCCAACGTGTTCTCTTCTGAATGAACTAAAGCAGAGAGCAGTGTGTGTGTGAGTGTGTGTGTGTGTGTGTATGTGCGTGTGTGTATCCATGCGTGTGTGTGTGTGTTTGTGTGTGTGTAGTGAACCAACCTCTGACCATCTGTAACGAGATGATCCTGATACATGGCTTGCAGACATCAGGATTACATTTACCGTACAATTTTTCAATAACATTTAGGATAATAAACAATGTCTTTATAATCGATCATTTATCATGAATCGTTCACAAACTCGTCATATTGTTGAACTGGATCCGTTTTCCTGTTTTCTCTGCAGATCATTTGTGTGTATAGTATTTATATAAGGTTATTGTTTGTCGAGCACACACAGTCTCTCAAGAAATGTTACGTGGCTAAATATTGTCATGTTGGTGTCAATAGCTTGATCTTATGAAGTCCTTTGTCTGTTTTTTGATTATTTTATTTTTTATTTTTGTTCTCTTAAATAAGTCTCCTTTCAATATTTCATTTGCATATGATACATTCTGTTCACATGCCCCCCACCGACCAGACAATCCATAATCTCCCACAGTAAACAGGATAGGACACTATATGAGCCTAGTGTATGACAAGATTAACTAAATACACATGTATGATTATATATAAATATATATTTTTTAATGCGTATTTACCACCACACTTGATGTCAGTAACTACAGCCGCAGCTGCCCTCATAACTTGCCTCCTCCCCCACTCGCACACCAGATAAATATTAGGCGATGTGGGTGAGGTGTCTCTAAGCACCACGTATTACACTGGTCTCCCATCACAACACTAACCAGGTCCTGCACTGCTTAGCTCCCGAGATCTTATGAGGAAAAAAAATCTGTCTTCTTTTTCAGTTTGCATATCATCAGGAATGTGTCCAATCTAATTATTCAGTCCAAAAATAGGCCAATAAATATTCTATATAGACACACACACATTCTATATACATGTTTTATGTCACACACGCACACACATACACGCGCACACATACACACACAAACACCCGAGGCTTACACGGAGACAAGAGCCTTTAAAGCCCAATGAGTGCATCAAAGTGTGGAGCTAATCCCAGGGCTCACTGGACACACGCAGGCCGTTGTAACGCGCTCTGCACCGAGATGCGTCGCAGATCCACCCCGCAGCGAGCAACCGTCATCCAGACTTCATAATCTAAGGCTTTCGAAAGGACTTGTCAATTTCGAATGACTGACAAACAGTTGTAGAATTACAATTTTTTTTTTTTTTTATGTTTTATGATTACACTTTCTTCAGTTCTTAAAAAAAAAGAAATGCGCTCTTCATCAATCAGGCACAATGTGGAGTGGAAAGGCACGCGTGGAAAGGCCTGTAGCAAAGTTTCTTCTTCATTCAAACAGTCCTTGGATATATAACAGGCCCAGACACACAGGAAAATCCAAATATTACCATAAGGAAAGGCATGAATAATTACAAATTTGCGGATTTGTACTAAATGGCGTTCGTCATTTCAGCACCATGGACAGCTCCTCTCAAAAGCGCGAACAGAGATTACAAAAAGCAGGCCCACCACGTCACCACGTTTACGAAATAAATTAAAGAATGGACGAATATGAAGCACTTGTTCATTATACTAAACATAGAACGCTTTCATTCCCTGTTCCGTTCAATGGTTATACATAAAGAAAAGGAAATAGCAGCTTAACTTGAAGGCGACATTGAGAGAAATGAAAAAGGGAAAATGGTGTTAATTGTGTAACGAGGGTAAAGAATGGATTAATTTCATCATTAAGGATTATCTAAAAAATATCAATACATGATAAAATGTACTAAACTATTTTTATAGCCTCACAATGTTTAAAATGTAAGGATTAACTCTGGCAAAGCATTTCTATACGCATCAAAATAACAAATATTTGCGTGATTGCAAATAAGAACGTGTCATTGATCACCTTAACATCCTTATAATCCCGTTGTTGTTGACAATATAATCATATATAATAACAACAAAAATAGTATTATTAAATAACTTGTGCTATTGTGTTCGCAGAGGATTCCTAACATGTTTTCAACTCCGTGGCTTCGCAGACGCCACTGTCACCGGCTTCGCTCGAACTGCAAAGCCGTGTCTTTCCATTGCTTTGAGCGCCACCTTGCGTCCACTGCTGCGCATGGCTCCTATTCAGTGTGTGTGTTTTCACTGACGACCACAGGAAGAGCGCGTGGTTTTGTTAAATGTATCAGAACATATGATTTCAGTCAGTTTACTGTATAGTGTTGAGGATGAGCGACTTTTACGCACGTGGATCTGGGGCAGAGAGTTTATTTTGGCTCAGAACTAGAAAGAACAGACGGCTGACGCGGCGCAAAAGTGATATTAACACATGTTTGACTCGTTTTTGAAAGAGTAATG